GATTTGTCTTAAGTAAATGGACATGTCCTGTGTATGGATTTACCTTTCCTTTTTGTAAGCCTTCAGCCAACACCACAACTTGAATATGGAGAGAGCATGTGGCTCTCTGGCATGGTCCCACACATGTCGCAACATTGAGTCACACATAGAGGTTCTTTTGTAGCAAAGAAAAGGAAAGTAGGCCCAAAGTATGAGATTCACTGGATATTTAACATAAGGTGGTATTTAGAAATTGCCTGACAGGGATCACTGTGACTGTCAGTTGATGGGGAGACTGATGTGCCAGCATAGACACAAAAGCTCTAATCTATAGAGACAGGTGCTTTCCTCCAGGAAAGAGCATGCATAGTGAGTTAAAGATCTTTACATGAGACCATATTTGTAATAGAAAGATATCATGGGAGCGAAATCAAGGTGTGGGATCAGGAGGGCGCCCACTTACCATCACTCTGCTTCACTGAGGAATCTTATATCTTTCTTTGTTTCTGAGATCTGAGCTCCATGGGTAATCTCCCAAGGGGACACACACTTTCATCAGAGACAATGAAAGTTCCACTAGAAAGGAGTGGTGTTACCAACTTGATAGAGTGAAGTTGTCCTAATCTGTAGGGGGGCTCAGGATGCTGTCACCCAGTGTGGAAAGGAGTATGTGTACCCCAAGTTTCTACCTGGTGTCCCTTTATACTAATATAAAGTGAGTAATTTTCACCTTAGACAGACATGGTGATCAGGGGCTCAGGATGCTCAGGGGTGAGAAACAGCATTGGGCTCTTGGCCAAATACTCAATCTACTGAACCATTGAGAATAAGGTGAATCTAAAATAGGAAGTAAAAATGGAGACATTGCCTATCAGTCTTAGCCCCAAAGCCAGCTGCAGAAGTATGGTCCCCCCAAAACCATGGAGGAGGTGCCCTTGAGTAGATCTCTAAAATGAACGCCAGTGTTAAGAGTGTACTAAGGCAGACCTGACAGACCACAGGACTTCTCCTTAAGGGAAGGCTGGCAAAAGCAGTTGCCAGCCTTGCCAGGGCTTCCTTAGTTGTAGACAGACACTTTGCCTTCCGAGTGACCTATATCCATCAGCTGATTGAGACAGAGACACACTGGGCTATTTGACCCAACTGTGCTAAGCTGTGCATGTCGCAGCTACGGCAGTGATTCATGAAGTAGGTTAGTTTGCTTCTCCCCCTACCCGATCCTACTTCGTCTCTTAAGGTCCACAGCTACAGATGCCCAATATTTACCTCTTTTGTAAGCCTTCAGCCAACACCATAACTTGAGTATGGAGAGAGCATGTGGCTCTCTGCCCTGGTCCTATACGTGTCACAACATTGAGTCACACATTGGGCTTCTTTTATAGTGAAGAAAATGAAAAATCCTTTTATATTGTTTGCTGTCTTCGAACCCAACCTACATATTCTGAGTGGAGAAGTTCTCCTGGAGCTGGCTTAAGAGACCCTGCCTTTTCCTCCTCACACATACCACTCCCACTGAACACCACCCACTCTGGTTAGCTGTAGTCCAGCTGCTTCCCACCTGGCCCTCGATGAGTGGTATTTTGTTCTCCTGTCCCGGAATTCTCTCTACACAGCAAAGCAGCCCTGCCTTGCTCTCCTGATCTCACACTGCCCTTTTAGAAACCAGTGGCTGAAGTGAGTGTATTCACAGCAGAGAAGGGGGACAGTGGCACCGTTTCTTACATCTAACTGCAGAACACAGGATAGGCTGAAATGTGAGGAGGATGGGTTGAAGTATGGAGGCCATTATCCCGAAGTCTCCATCTTTATATTACTGTCTCAAGACCTGATGTTTGGATTACAGTAAAGGGCACAGATCCTGGGTGTTGAACCCACTGTAGTGGTACCCGGTCTGAGAGGTTCCGATGGGGATAACCTGGCTGATTTTGGAATAAAGGGCCATTTCAGGAAAATCCTGGAAGTCTGTTGGATCACAGCAGGGGACATCTGTGTCAGGACATCTTTTGCATGTTAGTAAAGACTCTGCTTTTCCTTTAGCCAGGGAAAATCACAGAGCTGCTTCGCACAGCTCACAATTAGTCACAGCACGCTCAAGTCCCAATCTTGGGGAGCTGTCAATATCCACAGGCCTCTCTGCAATTAAGAAGACCATCCATGCCAGCCCATGCAAGGTAGGGATGCAGCACAGTAGAATTTCTGCTCAGCAAAGTTGCTGCTTTCTTTGCTTCGCTTGGAGCAGACATATGCATGGGCAAAGAGGGGAAACCCTCACTGAACTCTAGCCCTTACCACCAGCAGGAAGGAAAGTATTTAGAGAAGACAGGAGCCCAGGAGACCATGGACGAGAATGCATGGATGTATTTAAATACATTACACAAAGCAATGCTAAGTGGGAAACATTAGACCAGATTTGCAGAGGGCTATTTAAAGTGTGAGTTATGAACTGCTTATTTTCTGGGTGCTTCTCTATCTAATTTCTCCAGAGCTATGTGCAGCAATTTCAGAAGGTATAGAAGGGAATCTCTCTCTCCCCCCCCAACCCCCTGTATTTTGGTGAAAACAAAAAATCTAAACTTGAGGCTAAAATGGAGGCTTCTGTTGGAACCTCTGGAGTGAAGAAACAGAGAGGCAAAAACATCTGATCATGCATTGCACGCATATCTAACCACTGAGACAAGTCGTTTGGATTTTTGTTATCGTTTACTCTTGGTTTGAAACTTGCACAAGTGATCCACGTGTGTGGCACATGTCTGTATCTAGGTTTGCATGGCCATCTTCCACTCCTGTAACCTCCAGCTAAAGGTACTCCCAGGGAATTTTTCTGGGGTGTGGTGTCAGAGCATGTTTGAGTTTATTCTGAAGCAGCTTTGTGTCTGTTTGTTTTTACATTTTGAGGACTATAAATGTTTGTGTGATTTTTAAAAAAGTCTGTGGCTACCTGGCTATGACTCTAGGGTAACAAGGACTGACTGAGAAACGGTAAAAGGTTGTGATGGGTTAAGGATACAATGAAAGGGACAAACATTCCCCTTTTCTTTGGGCATTTGCAGAAGATCTGGACTAGCTGTGTAGATATTAGTTGTATTTACTGGCTACCATGGATTATGAAGAGGGGGCTGACATCAGGGATTTGTGGGAGGCAGCTGATTCCAGCTTTCAGAGCCAATGGTACATTCTTTCTAAACACCAGGTTCAGTAGCATCACCTTGGGAACTTAAAACGGGCTGCAGTTACAGTACATACAGGAGGGATTCGGCAATGCGCATAGCCCAGTGGAGATTTTTTTTCTTTCCTCCAAGTAAGCCTATTTTTTTTTTAATCCAATGTCTTGTGTAGCCAAGGCTGGCCTTGAGGTTGATATGAAGCTGAGTATACCTTTGAGATCCTGATACTTCTGCCTCTACAGTCCACGTGATGGGACTACAGGTGTATACCACGTGCCTGGTATGTGGTGAAGTGACTTACCTATTTTATGTCTTTTCTTTAATCTCCCATGTCTGTCAATGGCTCATGCTTTCCTCTGTGTTCTTCAGCATACAAAGAGTGTTTAGAATGTTTGTCTCAATGCATTTGTCCCCTAAGTCTATCCTCTTAGTGAGAAATCTAACTGGGTAGCATATAGTTGTAGCCTTTTTCATATGGCTTATGAGACAGGAAGGGATTTTTCTTCCTTAAAGAGTTGTAGTAAATAAGAAAACATCGCAAGACAGCGGGTGAAGCCCAACAACAAACACACTAGGGTTGCCATAATCACCGAGACTGAAAATAATTATGATGGTGAGAATAGTGTAGCAGCTTTAGAAAAGCCAAGAGATTGAACCACAGCGGTCACATGCCCTGTAGGGCCATTTCTAGGTATGTGTGCAAGAGAAGCCAAACCATTCCACATGGAAACTGTACATACATGTCCACAGCAGTATCATTCATAATGCATAATTTTTTCCTAAAGGCAATGTCCCAAATGTCCCATATTAATGGGTTCAATTTGTTACAGTGAGCCAGTTTTGGGAATGAGAGAAATGCATGAAGCAACAAGATTATCTTTGGAAGAATGAGGCTAATGAAAGATACGGGTCACCAAGGACCACCTATTGCATAATGCTAAATATCTGCAATGCCCAGAACAAGCAACTAACAGAGACAGGAGAATGTGGCTTTCCAGGGACCAAGTCAGGGGCTTCTTAGAAGGAAATGATAATATGCATAGGTTTACTTTGGAGACCATATACAAAACTGAAAATTTATTGTGGTAATAATGGGTTCACAACCCTGTAAATATACTAAAGTCTATGAAATTTAATACTTTTTATAAGGATTGAGTTGTGGATCTCAGTAAAATGTTATTTTTAAAGAGTGGTTTCTAGATTTTGAGATTTCAGAAACTAGTAAGGAAAATTCTGGAATCCACCATAGCTATCCACTTTGTTCATTTGCTTTTGATAAATAGCACCATTTGATGATCACTTACAATGGTACTGATAGAATTTACTAAAAAGAACGTAATTTTAGTGATTAAAAGAGTCAAGGAATGATAAACTATTTGCTAACTGGAGTAAATGTAGCTTCATTTAAAAAGTATTATGGGGCCTGGAAGGGTGGCTCAGTGGTTAAAAGCACATACTGCTCTTGCAGAAAAACTGAGTTTGGATCCTAGCACTCACATCAGGGCTGCTCACAATTGCCTAGAAGTCCAGGTCCAGAGGCATCTGATGCCTCGTAGCCCCCAGGGTACCTGCACCCACATTCACATAACCATATATATATACATATACATAATTAAAAATAAATCTATAAAATATCACGTGGTTTTTATAAGGAGCTACAACAGTAATAACGTCCACTTTTTAATGCTGTTTGAAGCACACATCACTCTTGTCACTACTTTTAAAATTTTCCAGGAAGGCCTCAAGCATAGAAATGTTTCAGACTGTTTGCAGTTTGTACATTCCATGGTCATATAATTAGGTTGGTGATTTCATATGCATTTTAGTAATAGATTTAGATAACAGAAATAAAAAAACTTAAATAATAAAAAACTTTATTTATAATATCTAAAAAGCCATATAGTCCAAAACTGCAAAAATAAAAGACAATTTCTGGAAAATTACCGACTGTCTAAAAAACACCACATTAACACCTACTATTTAAAATATAATATCAAAGTCTAAGCTAGTAATTCTTTTTTTATTTCACAACATCTGAGCTAGAATTTTCTTCACGAAACTACACTGTTAACTGCTTCAGTTCTAATGCTTAAACTTATAACTTGGGTCTTTTCTCACAAGCAGAAATACATAGCATAAAATCCTTTGTACACAACAAAATGAAAATAATTAAAAAAAAACAAGCAATGGATTTCTACTATAAAAAAGACAGCAAGGTATGTTTCTTTTGCCAACAGTGGGGGTAAAGGGATTCCAAATCCACCTAGACTCACTCCCACTTGAAGGCTGTCTAGACTACCTATGATCCATTAATGAAGCACAAGTATGTATGTGTAAGATGCTTCCACCATTTACTAGCCAGGAATCAATCCCCAGGTACTGGAAACAACTGGATTAGTCTCAGTTTCCATATGACAAAGCAAGGCTTGCTGTGAGACCCGGATGGAGCCAGAGTGAGGTCTCACTGGCTTCCCGTAGGAAAAGCAAGAGATTTCTCTGCAGAAGGCATTATAATTATTATTTTTAATAGCAGTATAAGAGTTGGGGTTTCCATCGAGAGCCTTAGTTTTGGATCAGAGTAAGAAGTTGAGAGCACAAAATGGAGATTTCAGGGTGAAGGGGTTACCAGGGAGAAAGTGAAAACCAGGATAAAGCCTCTTTTCAGACAGAGATCACTTTGCAGAGGTAAAAATAGCAAAACAAGAATAGAAAAATATAATAGCCAGAGGGTTTCTCACTTCTAAGCTTGGAGGCTTTTGTAAAATCACCTTGAAAGAAGGATCTCCCTTGAAGACAGCCCTTGGACATCTTAGTCCCCCTTACCACGGGTACAACCCCTGTGAGGCAGAGTGAGCAGACTTGAAGGGACAAGCGGAGTTGTAGGGATGTTGAGAGGGGAGGACCACAGGGAGCACAAACGGGATGGAGATGGTATGTTGTATAGCATTGGCTTAGAGGCAGAAACAGAAGGTAAAGGGGTAACAGCAACTCTTACAGATGGACAAGTGGGGTAATCTGGGGAACTATTTGCAATATCAGCTACTTATACTTTCACAGAGGATTTGGGATTTCAAGTATCCAACGAAACAAAAGATGATGGACATTGGTTTGGTTACTGAAGCGCTCAGTTCAAGGGAACCTACAGTTATGTGTCATGAGAGTACAGGGGTGTAACAGTCATGATGTGGACTGCAGTAAACTAGTGCATGCAGAACAAACTTCTGCTGCATCGAGTTAAAATATAGTGAATACTGGGCTACTCCTAAGAGGGCTACTCCTAAGAATTCAGAGAGGAGTTTAATTTAGTTTGATCAATACACTCGGGTGGATTTAAAACTCCCGCCTGTTCCTGGAAAGAGTATTGAAAACCAAACAATGGTGTCCATTCACTTGGAAAACTGTGTGTAGCGCTGGGCTTCAGAGATCTACTGTGTGTCATTAAGGGAAATGAACCTCTGAGGAAGTGAAATAACCCATCTCTTCATGGCTGTCAGACACATCTGTGGTAGGACAGGGCTCAGTTCTAAGTCACTGCAGCAAATCCGATGTTCTGGATTCCTGGGAGGATTTCCCTCAGGCTCTCCTCATCACCTTTTACAGCCAAATTCCACAACATGGAAATCAAGTCGATCCAGTGCAGGTCACAAAACCAGGCCTCATGTTGCGCCTCTGAGATCTGATCCTAGAAATACTCTGGGCAAAACCCATAAAGGGGCAACTGTGTGGCCTGCCACCCTTAGAGTGGGAGAAGACTGAACTATCTCAGAAAGCCTCCTTTGTTTACTCAAGATGGTTTAGGCTAGTAATTAGAACTTGGTATTAACTTTAAGACCGAGAGCAGTTCTCTTCATATCCAAGCGACCTGTCTCCTATGTAACATTTGCTTGTGGCCGCTGTGACAGACCCACTGTGGAACTGAAGCACAAGAGGGCTGTCAATTGGTGGTTAAGTCACAGATACTTTGCTTTTTTCTATCAATCTGCATGGCGCTGACAGTCTATCGTAAAATTATTACCATGGATAAATGTCAGCACAAGTCTCCAGCAGATTCCTCACTTCAGATAGCAAATAGCCCTATCCCACCCTCGTTTGACGGCATGAAAACCTGAAAAAAAAATCTTGCCAAATTCTGTTACATTGCATTTAATTTTTAAAATTATTTTGAGACATGCCCATCAGTTTGAATATGGCTCTAAGGGTAGCTGGTTAATATCTGCTGCATCCTAATCAGGAGTACACATCTCCCAGGGGCCGCCAGCAGCTCTGGTCACTTCTGAGGCTGTTACCATATGCTTTATTTGCAGTCCAACCTGGCGGAGGCATACAGCCCTTACACATCTATCTACTAAAGGCTACCAAAACAGCCTAACAGCTGGCAAAGGCCAGATTATAGTATTCTTGAATGGAAGAAATCCATGTATTCATCAGCTCTAAGATTACTGCAGCTGCATTCTAGAGTTGATGAGATTTGCAAACATTAGGTTTTGGTTTAATGGGGATAAAGGTCTCAGGGTTTTTTTAGAGTCTTCCAATGACCCAAGGATGAAGGAAGGGCCTTGTTGTTCAAGCACCAGGACAAAAAAAAAAAAACCAAAGCTGAGAGGCACAGGTGGTGACCCCAGCATTCTGACCTTTCACCCTTTCCACCCTTCTCTGGCTCCCTTCCAGCTGTCCTCAGTGTGCGTGTTCCCACCCTGGGAGTTGGACCTTGATTAACAGAGACAAACAGCAAGAAGCATGTCAAATGAAGTCCAGGGAAGAATGTTAGAAGTTTGTGCCCTGCAAAACCAAGTCAACTGGTATAGGCGGCTCTATCTGACTTGGTTTGGCCTTGGTAGCTTAACCTAATGGAGGTTAACCTAGTGAACTGAATAGTACTGAATATTCAGAGGTAAAAGGTGAGCACATGTGCTTCCTTCCTACTTTATTTCTTATTGTTTCATTCCACGTAGGCTCCTATACTTCTGCTTTAAAAAGAAAACCAAGACAGCTATATTCCCCCAAATCAAAGCAGGTTTAAAAGAAGTAACAGCTAACTGATGATATGCATAGCCTACAACTGTGTGGTATGAGAATATAAGCCTTTCTGTTCCCATGGGAGCTCTTGAAAGAGGACATAACAGGGGTAGGATTCTATCCAGTGAGATGATTCATGTAAAGTGCTGGCCCTGGAACCCAGTCTATACCATACACTCAGTAAAGCTACCCATTAATAGTTATTTGAAAAAACAAAAGCAATCGTGAATTCTAATAATACGCATTTCCAATCCTACCTAAAGCTTGACAGTTGAACCTTTAAAAATATTTCTTGTTATTATTGCATGTGCAGGAGGTGTGTGAGCTCAAGTGGTGGTAAGAGGACCATGCTGGGGCCCTTCTCTCTCCTTCTCCTTCCAAGTGAGCTCCAAGGATTAAACTCAGGTCTGCAGGCTTGCATGGCAAGTGCCTTTACCCAAGGATCTACTTCAATGGCCCAGATATGAAACATTTTATGGGATACATGTTTATTATAATAAAGGGAATGTTTGAACTTGCAATTGGTTATATTCAAACTAGACCAAACTACAATTTCCACACTGCTGAATGACTCTCCCCAGGACATTCCAGTACTCTAAATATGGGCAAAGGCACTGGGCATTGAAGTTCAAAATGCAACACTGGAGTATAGGTGCTTCTCAGAGACCTTACAATTTCTCATCCGCTGTTCCCTAGTTTAATTCTTAGCACAGTTCTGAGAGGTTGACAGGGAAGGTCTCTGTTTTATGGGTGGGAACAGCTGATACCCTACACAGTTTATTTTCCTAAGCTTTTACAGCTAGGGGTAAAGCTGGGTATAGACCTGTCCTGTTGATTCTTAAAACAATGGGGGATTCTCTAATTCCAAGGTAGGCCTTAAGAGTATAATAAGGATAGCACCAGGAGGCAAGTGAATGCAAGAAAAGATGAGCAATAACAGAAAATCTTTTGTGAAATTTAGACTTCTACAAAAGACACCTGGGGGAAAGGGCTTGGTCCTGTTTCTGAGTGAACAGGACATAGAAAATAATAATAATGATGATGATGAGAACCTGGTCACTTACTGGGCATTTCTTCAGTCGTGTGTGTGTGTGTGTGTGTGTGTGTGTGTGTGTGTGTGTGTGTGTACTTGTGTACCTGTTATAGATGTCTAGCACAGGTAAGGGTTTCATATACTCCTTAGAGCACAGAGATGTCTTCAAATTTAGAGCATACAAAACACCAGGCGTAAGGGGAACTCTCACAGAAGATGTAACGAATCACGGCTGTTTGTTTGCATTCTTATTTTGTTAAGTCAGGCTGATCCTAGCCAGTCCAGATGCTCAACTGTAGTGAGATGCAAAGAATCTGGTGATCTGCTACTGCAGCCACAACGCCAGCAGGTAAAATAGGTGATGGAGGCTGTGGTGAGGGTGAGCATGTACCCCTGCCTCCTTGGAATGCAGAGTGGAAGCAGTGCATGGAAAAACGCCATACGAATTTACTTCTCAGTGAACTTTAACAAAACAATTATGGGGAGAGCATGGCCAGCTGTGACTATGTCCCTCAACCTCACGTACTGACCTTTAGAGTCTAACTTCCAAATTTAAATGGCACCATCAAGTAGTCTAGGCTCCAAATTCAGAGATCAGCAGACTAATTTTAGATGGCATTTTTTTGGTTGAGGGGAATGGTTAATCAACCCCCTTTAAACCTGTTCAGCATTTGGCTTTCTTTTCTTTTTCTTTTTAAATAGAGAACAGACAGGAGACACTAGAATAAACTATTATGAAGCTTATGTGACCCCTGTCTGGGGCCAACAACTATCAAATATAGCAGTTTGTCTAGGAAATTCCTTAGCTGACAGAAAGGCACAGATGACAGCGAACTGGCTGGCTGCATGAGAATACCCACACCCTAAAATAACTTTTTCCTAACAATCCTAAGAATCATTGAAAAGTAGACAGTGGGTTCCTCCTGGGAGGGTGCTAAGCAGAGGACAAAAGGCTTCCACATAGTTTTCTCTGGCACAAAGGAGGACATCCCTCCCTCCCCCTGGGTCCACTGTGTGCTTTTGTGAAGACAACTCTGTGACCTGCCACCCAGCAGGACTCTAGCAACTCTCCTCAGTGCTAAGATATTTAAAGCCTTCTAAAGGAGGGGTGCTCTACAATCTGGCCCCTAACATCGAGGGCTAATGAAATGCTTCACTGCCAAAGAAAACTCTTAGTACTACACCATCTGACTACTGGAGGACAGTCACAAGGAACCCTGTAGCTGTAGTTACACTGACTTCCTAATGGCGTTCTGAGCGATGAAGCTGACCATCATCTCTGCTCTAACGGCAGGAAACTAAACCCAGAGTAGCACAGTGATGGCGCAGAGAAGACCAGTGGAACTCTAGGCGCTTTGGAGCCGTGACCACTAAAAGCACTAATCCTAAACAAAGCTTTAAGATGGAATTTGAGCATTCTTACTCCTAGAACTGCTGATAGTGGGGAGTGGGCTGGGTGTGTATATTACTAGAGCAGAAGCACCGTTATGGCTTATCTCACAAAGTCTGACAAACAACAAAAAGAAGCCATGGAGAACCAAGGCCGAGTGTGGCATGAATAAAGTATCTTTAGCCGTTCACTATAAATCTGCTAATGTTCTCATTTCCTCTTGTAGTTTAGGATGGAAATGTATACTATTTATTTTGATGTTGATACCAGTCTTTCTTAATATTAACACGTACATAGTATTTTATTTTTTAATGCCTGTGACATGCTCTGATCATCCAGGATACACAGTAAAGCGACATTATCCTTAAGATGTGCCCATGATCCTTTGGCCTTTATGTTTCTTTCTGTGACCATTGTCAGTCTCAGTGAGAGACAGCTGGCAGAGGGAGACGACAGGACTCCGGGCAGACATGAGCAGGTATAACAGCATCGCGGTGTAGCCATTGACCTAGGCAGAGAGGCTACTGTCTTATTCACTTTGTATGATCTCTAGAGGCTTGTTCACCAGGTGATGTGGGGAGGAGGAACAGAGAACATGCAGATTTAGCAAACACGTCATATTGAAGTAGCTTTACAAGAAACAGTTTTTTAGTTTTCCACCTGGCTTTTAAGAGTGGGAGTTATTGCAGGGTGACCTTCAGCAGGCTTTCTGTTTGTTTCTTGAGGTAGATAAGACATGGAAGAGAAGGAAAGAGTGCAGAGGAGGAGCTAGCTGAAGCCTGTGTGGAGGGGGACTGGTGGGAAAGGTGAGCTTGTCAGGTTCAGAGGAAAAGAGCAAGACTAAGAGGACTGCAGCCCGTTTCGGCAGGGATTTTAGGATTAGTAGGTGGGAAAACAGGCGCAGCTCCAAGGAAAAGGAGAAGACTCTGTAGCACAGCTAGTCACGAGGGGACAGAAGGCAGAGGGCCCTGTGGAGGCCCTGGGGCCCATGGCCAGGAAGGACACTTAACACTAATACTGCTTCACCAGCACCCAGAGGCTTGGAGGTTCTCACTGCTTTAGTTATATTGTTTGGAGAGAGGAGAGCCCACCTCTTCCCTCAGCCTCTGGACACAGCTATTGTAATTGTACTGAGATGCTAGGGAAATCTAAATCCCAGCTTAATAATTAGTGAGCTGGATTTGGAGCTCGGTTTCCCACCTGTTTAAATTACAGCTGAGCACTGCCTGAGACCTGAGCAGAGTGGCTGCCAGCAGCTGGGGCCTTTCCCTGCAGTCATCACAGGCAGATGCCGTGATTTCAAATGAACACGCCATTGTAGGCCAAGTGTTAGTAGTTAAACACTAGAGTTACAGAGATGCAAAGCTACAGGCAAGTTCACAAACACAGCTGGTGGTTAAGAAACCCTTAATGAAGTTAAGAAAACCACTATTAGCTCAGAGTCATTCATCAAGAGTTCCGACTCACTCAGCCTGAAATTGTTTAGATGCCTCAGTTTCTCTCTCAAGCCTAAGAATAAACATTTGTTAGAACACCCATTACAACAAGAGGAAAAATCACACATAATGTTCTCGTGGGTTGATGTAGAGTCTCTCGGGGTTGCTTGAGTGATGTTTGTGGGGGCTTCGGTCTTGGTAACACATCTGGTTGTAGAGGGGGTACATCTCCTGAGCTCCATCCTCTTGTACTGTGTTCTCATCTTCATAGTCAAATCTCCTGCTATTTAGTCCATTCTAAAAATTCAAACATTGCTTATATTAGCAGAGAAACTGTTTACATTCTTCTAGCACACTGGCAAAAAACAAGCAAAAGTTAAATTCATTAAAGTTCATGTCCCTAGTTCACGACCCCACAAGGAACTAGATAGCAAGGCAAAGTTCAACAACTCACCATGTTCCAGACATTTGGTGCCCACCATACCCGAGTAAGAGGAGTGGTGACTTTTAACTATAAATTCCAACGAATGGGGCTGTGAGCTGTTTTAGGTTTTGAAATTTGGAATTGGTACCCATCAAGGTGAGCTAAAGAAGGGCATGGTTGTGAACTTCAGGAACATCTCAAAAAGGGTTCCAAGCTCAGAAGGAATGTATGAGATAGTCAGAGAATTAAATCAAACAAAACAAAAATAAACATCAAGATTCAGCATTGGGGGATTAGGGAACAGACACAGCAAAATGAACTAGCATTTGACCATATGCTTGATCAAAGGGAGACTTAAAAATGCTGCCCCAGACAGCCTCTCCTCTCGACCTTCCTTCTGACTCGACCTTGAGCCACAGCTGACACTTACTGTGGAATGAACTCCCTCTGATGTTCTCTGGTATTTCTGACATGGCTCCTTCTGCCTGGGCATTGGTTCCAGATGACTGAAACGCTTCCGGGATTACTCAGAAGTGTTCTTTACATTATTTGCAAGGGTAAGCAAGTTCAAGGACTTTATCAAGTCATGTATAGACACGTAAACAGGGAGCAATGGCTAAAATGAACTTTTATGGATATCCGAGGAGACTTTCAAATGTACCTGGGTGGATACAACATGAGCTTTACTTACAGAGGACTGAAGACCACCAGAGCCTTTCTCTTTGAACTGAGTCTGCAAAGGCAAGTGTTCAGTCTGGAAGACAGTAAAAGGTACACAATGTAAAGTACTAGCACATCAACCAATACCTGGGCGACTCCTGTGTTCAAGGAGCCAACCAGGTCTTGCTAAACGTCTACCAATGAAGCAAAATATCCTCTAGGAGGATGGAAAAAACAACAGCTACATATTCCCTCTCTCCTCACTCCTTCTCCTGTGGCTCCTGGCTTCTTCAGAGAGAAACTATCCAGAGCATCTGATGCACAAGAGCGTGAGCAAATTGACTATATGACTTAAGAGTTTTAGCACTATAGCTCTTCTGTCTTTCTCCAGTGGAACAGTCTGGTATTTTGATCAGGTAAGAGTGGGCTGAACTGGCAATAAGCTTTTATCTGTGGCCATCCATGTGGCCATTCTTTTCTTACTGCTTCCTTCCTCATGGGTTATAAAGGGAGTCATCACTTTGAATGTAACCTCAGCTGCAAAGGATCTTTCTCAGCCCCCTCTGCCTGCTACGTTAGGTCCCCATTCAAGTGTCACAGCATTTGAAAAGCCCTGTAACACCCTGAGGTTGAGGCAGCCATCAGAGCATATAATAGCAGCCTCCTATGGGAGACCTTGAGTGCTGGAAGGAGTCTTGTAAGCATTTTCTTATCTAACCCTTATAAGTAATTCTATAAAGCTGGTCTCCATTGGGGACTGAAGTTGGGGTTAAGGAGATCACCACACTTGTGTTAAAGATACTACAAAGCCAATGACTTAACTTCATGACCAGGAGAGTTAAACTGTTTTAGACCAAAGTCAAATTATCTTCCTCTACTTTTAGTCACTTTGGAAGCCATTTAGTGCTCACCCCTACTGACTTAACATCCTGGAAACTATCAAAACCTTTAAAATGTATTCTTAGCAGACCACTAGTTTCCCCTAACCCAAGGGCTAAGGACTGTCATCAAGTAGCATCTAAAACCACATACATATGACACCCACCCATGCATCTGGCAAATACTTTGATTTACAACTTTCTTCTATAACCAATAAAATCTCATGTTACTGCCTCCACATTAGAACACAGTGTTCCCTCATGATCAGGCCATGATCACTCATATTTGACTCCAGAATCAATCATCTCTTATTCCTTTTGAAGCAGAAACTGTGTTTTTCTTTCAGTGTTATCCTACATGTGACTTAATCCGGGGTTCAGCTTGGTGAAGGTGTCTCATCTCACAGATGGTTAGTAGACTGCTACTCAAGCATAATTTTGTCAGATTCTAAGTTTTTGAGGCTTATGTCCTGTTTCAGGTGCCATGCCTGCATGAGATGTTCTGCAAATACAATGGGAGGAAGATTGATGTCCTGTGTGGCATATCTACCAACATGTCTTTGCTCCTGCTGTCTCTTTGGTCTGGAAGGTTTGCCCCTTAAACTCTGATAGTTGAAATCCTCTCCAAATATGGTGGCTTGACTAAAGTCACTCTTTTCTTCCATGGAACCTTTTTCTGCCATAGTCTATCCTTTCACTTCTACTTTCTCCACTGTTCTTCTCTGCACATCTCTTAGGCCTCACATCATAGTTTGACTTATTTTATAATCTTGAACATTTGTCATTTTCAACTCCAACAAAATCCATTTGTTGAAACCTAATCTGTAATGTGATGGTATCAGGAGGTGGGACTTTGGAAGGGATAAGGACATGGGGGTAGGGCTCCCATGAATGGGGTTAGTGTTGCCTTATGCGCTGAAGAGGCTACAGAGTTCTCTTCTAAACTATGAGGTTACAGTGAGATGGTCATATCAGAAGAGGACTTTCCCTAGATACCAGATGTGCTGGTGCACTAATTTTGGACTTCTCAAGCCCCAGAACTAAGTGAGTATCTGTTAGTCATGTGCTTCCTAATTTATGGCTTGTTTTTATTGCATCTCAAACAGATCAGACAGTCTTCGTTCATCCCTATATTACAGCCTATCTTCTGTAATAACAAGTCAATAGTTAATTACCTGGTTGGAATCTAAACTCTCATTGGTCTTGGTCTCCTGTGTCAAGGTTATCCATATTATAAATTATCTGTGATAATCCACACCCCCTTAATGCCATCTGCAACATGATGATGACCAGCTGACATTAACAATACAATACACACTGGTTACAAACCACATGTAGGTCAGCTTAATGGACCTGTGGTCAGTCATGCGGAGTCCTTGGAATTCAATACTCTGCAGTTGTCATATTTGATTTCTTAATTTTACAATGAATTTATATCTTGTAAGTGGCTCAAGAAGGCAAAGCAGCATGCTTACGGATGAGGAACCCCAGGTCCTCGCATCCTGCCTTCTGGTGCTTGGCTTTAGTTGGCTCTTGGATATCATTCTCCTCTCCTAGTGCCCAGGTCTCACCTACTATCCCATCCAGTATTGTCATGGGCTTCCACCCTAAAAGAGGACAGAGTGCTGGCTTAGGGAAAGCTAGGGTCAGAAGTGTGTGCCCTTCTAGTACCACACAAGTTGGCAGGTCCCAGAGGCCATGTCTCAGCAAAGGCAAGCCTCTTACTCATCCCTAGGTACTCATCATGGTACCTAGCATCACCACCTCAATGCTCACTTTTGCTAGGCCTCACAAATTCTTTTCTTATTCATGGTCCGAGAACAGACTTGAAAACTAATACCTTAAAGTAAAATTAGTATTTTCTTTAGCTTCTTTGCTTTTTAGAGGATGCCTGTGCTTGTTTTCTATCCATTTTATACAAATATTAAAAAAATTGTTCTGTGTCACTCAGAACAAAGTATAATTTGATAAGACAGAGAAGATAACAGATGCACAGAGAAGGCAGGCATAGATCTTCTAAATCACTTGTCTTTATAAAAGACATCTTATTTATAACTTCATTTGCACTTCTTCCAGTATCTTCTGTTATAACAAAACCTAAACCTATTTGTGTTGATCTTTAGAAAAAAAAGTCAGTCAGTAAAAGGCATCACAATCTACTGTGCCTTTTATCAACATCATGAACCTCTGGCAAAGTCCTCCCATAGTCTGCCTACATGGGCTTCTTAAGCAGTCCCACCTGTCTAATAGTCTGAGTCAATTTCTACATCTAATACTGTCAGAGAAGGAAAAAGGAACTTAAGTGATGGACGAAGCTGTTCCATCTTCTAGAAGGGTATAGAATTTACCAAAGGAAGGGCAACCAGCAATGTTTGGAGGTTGTTGCTCTTTTAAAAGAGCCTAATCATGGGAAAATGAGAAAAGAAAAAGAGTAAGGAAATCTTTATTACAACTCTGCTAACCCTGAAGGAAGATGCCCACCAACACATTCTTCCCTGCTCCTTCTACTGGGGACAGTCTGGAATGAAGAACCACCATCCACCCTGAAGGACAGGCATATTCTAGGAACACAATATGGCTGCAAGGGTTTAAGGAGAGATGTGCTGTGAAGACATGCTGTTCCAATTTACTCTACAAAATTCCAGATGGTAACTTTAACATGGCCAGAAAACACATTATCACCTCCATCTTCCCAACCTGCTTGTAAGCCTCTCCTCTGTGTCAATGCAACATAGGAACGACTTCCTGGAAGCCAAAGATAGGACATCATAAGCAACAATATCCACCTTAGACTTGCCAGGGCTAGGGAACCGCAGAAGCTAAAATCTACTTGCTTCAATACAAAGATGTCCAAGAAACACTTGCTTTATGATTAGTACAGAATTGCTCCCTTTTCCTATGCTAGGAGATAGGAAATTAGCCAAACCCTTGACAACACAGACCTGAACAAGAAACGAAGTGCCTCGACTCTATCCCACATTTGAAATGTTCATCATCAAATCACTATACCTCAAGGACCCATAAGTTTACAATGCTGAATACACCAATTTAGCTCTTAAATTAACAAACTGATTTTCATGGGTCAGTGTTATGCTTATCTAAAAGTTGAGTGGGAAGTACAGTTTCCATATACCTCTCCTGTCCCCTTCATATGCACGTATAAACCCCACCTTCAGAGTAACTTCCAGCCTCACTGAGGCTCATTTGTTACCAATGGTGACTCTTGTACACACTCTCATTTTCAGAAGTTCAAAACTTATATTTGAATTGACTCTTGGCAGTGCACCTTATTTGGTTGCTAACAAGAGTCTAATGCTATGGCTGTGTCATCCTACCATCACATAGAGAATAGTTTCATTGTCACCCAAACCCCCTGTGCTCTGCCACTCAAGACAGTTGTGAGCCACTATGTGGGTGCTGGGCATTAAACCCATGTCCTCAGTGCTCTGTGGGATACCCTCTCCCACTTTTACCCCAAGATACTCTTGAGGAGGGAGAAGTGAGAAATATTTAGATAGAAGAATAGAGGGGACAGAAACACAGGATAACTTGGGAGAGCCTAGATCCGTATCCACTGGCCCCTTCTGTCTCTTCTAAAGGGCTTTTTAAAAAAAGGAATGCCAAAGGATAGAAAAGACCTCCCCCTAGCACAGCCATGTGCAGACCTTTTCAAACACCTGGTAACCATGTACATGGTCAAGCCATCCTCTGATGCAGCTCTGCTGGGTAAAGCAAGCTCAGATCTCACTAGGGATCTTTGTGAGCCTCCACAGTGCTCTCATTGATCTACCTCTCCAGTCCCAACATTGTCTTTTTAAAAACACACTCCTGTCTTTTCAAGCCTTTCCCTATCATGCTCTCTCTAGCTGCTAGCCACTGCCACCTACCTTTCTAGGGATTTTCTGAGAGAATCTAGAACTGCTGCTGCTACCATCCCATTGGCTATGATCACATCAGTCTTCTGACTGAGGACTGGACACCTAGATCAGTGTTCTGGTTTCTGCCCGACCCATCATTTTAGTTACCTTGAAGCTAAACACATCCTCATCTTGCTTTCAGGTCTTTCTTTCCATTTCAGAAGAAATTCCCATGCCTGTGAGAACTTCTGCCCCACTTTCAGATCTAGGCTCTGCAGCATGCTTGCTTCTCTTGCTACCCATTTCCTTCAGCTTTTCTCTGCCGTGACAAATACCTGACAGCAACAGCTTGAAAGAGG